ATGTACGTATATATCGATAACACGTCAAGGAATTTGCATCATAACTTGTATTAATCAATACCGATTTGCTGTTGTATCATCCGTTTGTTGCTAGTGAAGACAGTATTCTGCTAAATCACAAAATTTTCATAATTAAAAAGTACTTGCTCGGGGGAAAATAATTTACAATCAGATTAAAATTGGAATAATCCCAATCAGTGTAGAAAAACAGAGCCAGTGGAAGACATTCCTGAAAACGTTCATAAGATTTAAATGATGAATTGCCGATGGATACTGATAGCACTTTGGCATCAATACCGGTAATAAATACTTTAGGTCCTTGATGATAAACAAGGAATGGAAGAAGTTAAGGAAAGGAAAACTGCAGAGGAGAAAAATGTGTAGGAAGAGAGACAGTTAAGAAGCACTGCGTTTCACCGTTTGATATTGAAGCAACAACACCAGAAGCAAACAAACCCAACCATTTTGATGCTCCCTGGCTTCAACACTCACTGGCCAATCCCGAATGAACTACAGCGAACCTTTTCAGGCCTTCTCTCTATAATATCTAAGCCCTCTTTTTTTTCCTCATTCATACACACACAAGCATACACACCCACACACATACACGCATACACACACCCACACAACATACACACATATACACACGCACCCACACACACGCAGACACCCATACATACACACACGGACGTACACACACAACACATAAGGACACACCCACATTGACACATAACATGGACGGATACTTGTAATATAGACGGGGAGTACATTTAACATGAAAAGTTGTAACGCAGAAAAGCAGGAACTAAAAAAAAATGATTCATCAAATTATGGCACAAAATAGGAAATACTCACACATAGCCACGATTTCAAGGCGAAATTTCTCTGTTTGTAGCCTCAATTCCTATTTCCAACAAATGCGAGACAGACACCCCTCAGTCCAAGAATGTTCAACTTTTTACTACTGAAACATTCTGCAGTCTCAAAACTTTGAATTCTCAAATTTCTCTAGTCTTACTTGCAGAAAAAGGATAAAAACAGAGCTGCTTGGAACGGTATCACTGTTCATCAAGTTGAAGTTAGAAACAGATTCCTTTGTTTACAGAACTATATTTCGAGAGAATTTCCAGACTAATTTACTTAACACTACTAATAATTTTTCCGATATATACAAGGTAAATTAAACAATAACATTTCATGGTGAACGTAGAGATACTACTATATTCTGCGTGCCTAATGTAACCCCCAGAGAGTTCAAAAGAAGCATCTCCATCACACATGAAATTATTTCCACAAAGTCAATACTTGAATGACAAGCATCATTACCAGTGCTAACTGATACTATCAGTAGCTGATATTTAAAACCTTTTCTTCTCACTTTCCTGACATATCGTTGTAAATTGAATTCCAAAAGATACGTTTGCAAATCATTTCATTACTTATTATTGTGCAAATTGATGTGTCGAATAAGTAATTGTTGCAAATACAATGATTTTCCATCCTTTCTTATTCTCATTCCCAAACAAAACATTTACAAGAGATATGGCACATTTTCCTCAAGGAAAGTTACATTTCTTGGCATAAAGAAAAAGAAATTTTCTTCTCGTTTTGCAAATAATCCGAAAACACAATGGGTACAAAATTTGCCAAAATCTTCGAGCAACTACGTGGAGAAGCAAACTGGAAAGAACGACATAAATACATCAACAAAAACATTCTTCTAAGTATGCGTTTTCTTTCCAGCTGCATCATATTAACTCCTCGTTCTTTTTTGTTCATTGAAAGAAACTATTTACGTTAGAAGTGAACTGATAACTAAATTAAATGGTAACAGATTTCGATTCAAGAAACAGTCATTCCTTGAATATTTTAAATTCCAATAGTTCCAGATAACAGTTTCTTAGCAATATTATTTATGTTCTTTTTTTTCCCTCACTATTTGCGACTTTTTCTTACCAAAGTTGCAATAATCTATTGGTGCTGAAATGGTAGTGCCAACCAACAATAAATTTTGCAATTGATTTTAAAATTATTGAAATTGTGAGACTGTAAGCATTTTTCTCAAATTAGTTTAGATTAGAAGAATGGCAAATTATGCACAGCTGTTTATCCTGAAGTACTTCAAAGTAATTCATAAGTTTTTTGATGTATGGGAAAAAGTTTTAAAGAAGTGGAGCAAATTGAAGCTATTTGATTTTAAAAGCAGAGTGGGACGCGACAGAACTTGATAAAAACAAATTGACAGTGGTAGAAACTAATTTTCTGAAACTTTAAAATAACTGAAAAAAATGTTAAACGACCTCTTTTAGAATGGTCTGTGAGAGCAACGTTGGCATATAAGCAGTAGTCAACGGTTCGGAAGTTGTGGATGTGCTAGAAACGTGATGCTGTTGGTCACCCATCAACATCATGGCTGGTGATCGTTTTAGTCTGAAAAAACCTACAATTTCTTATTTGTAACAAGAAAATGAACCGAAATCTAAACTGTCACATGATTCGGAATCAGGAATGCTACGAAGTATTATTCTTAAATTTCATTTTTCAGATGAGATAATGTTACAAAGTATTTAACTAATGCTTATAGATAAAGTACCAATAAATTATTAATTTGAATACACAAATCAGATGTTAATAACCTTGTAGCTGTCGAATCATTATCAGATCTGGATGATATAGTTGCAACATTCAAATCCAGTCCACTTCCCAGTGTTCCCGATAAAGAAGCAGGTTTTGCTTTGGAAGGTGAATTGAATGGCTGTCCCAGCGTGTGGTGAAAATTCGATGTAATACAAACCGAATTCGATGATGTTTCGCTTTCCGAATGTTGGGCTACTCCTGAACTCATTTTCAATACCTCAATCCCAGTATCATTTTCTGAAACATGATTGTATTTGCATGATGCTTCAAAAGCCGTAAAAAAAAACAGAAAACCTCAAACTTCAAGTAATTTGAATTCAAAAAAAATTATACTTAAATATAATGATGATTAGCCCAACTTTAATTCGTTTCCTAAGAACAGAAGTGGCCGACAAGTTCAATGCGGTGTGTCCCACGGAAACGACAAAACTACATGCAGGGAAATGGATAATATTTAATAGAAAAAAAAACGACGAGAAAAACCTCTAAATAAAATAGCATACTATTGGGAGGTAAATTTGTGGATATTTCTATTTCATCGATCCGCTCATTCTGGATGCCATCGAAACCGGCTGATGCAATACGGTACGAGGAGACGCCAAAGACCATAGCACTGCTGCATAACGGAACACTACCGGAGGGAAAAAATGAAGTGGGGTCCTGCATGGATAAACTGTTATGAATTTTGTGCAGTGATCACTGAACATGAATGGTCTGGTCAACAATTTGGAAACAAATTTTCGTCAATGTCGAACCCAAATCAATTCACAATCCTATTCACTTTTAAGAAACAGTGTGGGAAGAAAACGCAGCCTTTCAGTGTGGTAACAATTTCCTTTGCCTCAATACTCCTCTCAGGAGGCTATTAAACACTCAATTATATGAAGCCTGAGACCGGAAAAAGATAATGTTCACTTCATTTCAATAACTAAATCTAATAAGGGAACACTGAGAAATATACGTACAATGCTTTTTCTGGATAACAAGTTTATAACTTCATTTTTACCAAATTTTCTTCCAATGTCGAACCCAAACCAATTCACAATCCCATTTAAGGAACAGTGGGAAGCCAAAGTCGGGTATTCACTTCCATGATTTTTTGGAATATCACGTGATCCATAAATAAATCTCGTATTGCGTACTTTCGGAAGTCTCATAAGTGATACACACTCCCTCTACTCCTTCTAAATTTTTAATAACAATCGTAAAACTGATTGACTTTCTGCGCAATTGATGAAGACATAGTGGTATGTTCCAATTGTCTTGAAGCTTCATAGCTGTTCACATTTGCTTCAGTTGCTGGAGTCACTGTATCTGCTTCTGTCCTACGAAACATTTGTTTTGAAACCTCATCCTGGCGCTTTTGCAGCTGATTATAGTAGTCGCCACTATAGACGGTTCTCGTCACATCTCTACCTAGAATTATTTAATTCTGTAGTAGATTTTTGT